ACCAGGTAAAGTGTATGGGAGAGTTATGATTGAAAGAATTAGAGGTAAGACAGAGAGGACTGCAGATGAACAGGGAGATGTTAAAATGGGTAGGGGATGCATAGATCAAGTGTTTCACTGAAGCATATAAGTGAACAATCCTAGGTAGTAGGTGGTAGACAGCAACCACTCAGGGAGGTACTACCGTCCTGCCAAGTGAGTGTAAAATGGAAACCCGTAATTGTTTTACATGATGGTAGGATTGCGGGTGTCTCTTTTTCTGTCTCATAAACATGCATGATTTCAGGTATGTCTTGCTATTTCTACTTACACTTAGGTCACACTCTACACATGCATGTACAAGCATATATATACACACATCCCTCTGGGTTTTCTTCTATTTTCTTACTAGTTCTTGTTCTTGTTCTTGTTCTTGTTTATTTCCTCTTATCTCCATGGGGAAGTGGGACAGAGTTCTTCCTCCGTAAGCCATGTGTGTCATACAAAGCGACTAAAATGCCAGGATCATGTGACTAGTAACCCCTTCTCCTGTATATATTACTAAATGTAAAAAGAGAAATTTCCGTTTTTATGAGGATAGTGAAGATCAGGTTAGGGGTGTGTAGGAAAGAAGATTACTTTCCAGTAAAAGTAGGCCTTAGACAGGGGTGTGCAATGTCACTATGGTTGTTTAACATGTTTATAGATCGAGTTGTAGAAGAAGTAAATACTAGCATGTTGGGAAGAGGGGTGGGATTAAATTATAGGAAATCAAATACAAAATGGGAGTTGTCACAGTTACTTTTTAGCTGATGATACTGTGCTTTTGGGAGATTCTAAAGAGAAGTTGCAAAGGTTAGGGAATGGGTTTGGGAGGGTGTGTATAGAAAGCTGAAAGTGAACATATATAAGAGAAGGTGATGAGAGTATCAAACGAGTTAGGTAAAGGAAAAAATGGGATATCACATTGGAGGGAAAGAGAATGGAAGAAGTGAATGCATTCAGACATTTGGGAGATCTGTCAGGAGATGGGTTTATGAAGAATGAGGTTAACTATAGAAATGATGAAGGAAAACAGGTGAGTGGTGCATTGAGGTGTCTGTGAAGACAAAGAACATTATCCATTGAAGCTAAGAGGAGAATGTATGAGAGTATAGTTATACCAATGCTCTTATATGGATGTGGAGCATGAGTTGTGAATGATGCAGCGAGGAGGAGGCTGGAGGCAGTGGAGATGTCCTGTCTAAGGGCAATGTGTGGTGTAAATATTATGCAGAGAATTTGTAGTGTGGAAATTAGGAGGTGTGGAGTTACTAAAAGTATTAGTCAGAGGGCTGAAGAGGGGTTGTTGAGATGGTTTGGTCATTTAGGGAGAATGGATCAAAGAAGAATGATTTGGGTAATATATAAATCTGTAGTGGATGGGAGGGGTAGGGGTCATCCTAGGACGGAGGGGGTAAAAGAGGTTTTGTGTGCAAGGGACCTGGACATGCAGCAAGCATGTGAGGGTATGTTAGATAGGAGTGAATAGAGACAAGTGGTTTTTGGGGCCTGATGAGCTGTTGGAGTGTGAGCACAGGAACCTGTTAGTCGGACTCGAGTGCTGGAGGTGGAAAGTACAATATCTGCAGTTTAAAGGAGGGGTTTTGGACACTGGCTGTTTGGAGTGAAATGTGAACCTCATTACTTCGTGATCAAAAAAGCTGTGTAAATTTGCTGCTAACAACAGACTGGTCATGTCTGGGCACCTCTGCAAAGAGTGATTATGTGTGAATGATGGCAAAAGCATTGAATGATGATGAAAGTGTTTCTTTCTTTTTTGGGCCACCCTGCCTCGGTGGGAGATGGCCGGTGTGTGTTTTTTTTTTTTATCTCAATGACTGTCTCCCGTTAAGGCAAGGTGTCCCAAAGAGAACACATTTACCAATGTTCATTCAAGTTCTCTCTTTCCAGAAGTGTGCTAACATTGCAAATTAATGACCCCATCCTTTCTCCAGAGTGCAGGCACTGCCCTCTGGACTCATGTCCAACTAACTGGTTTCCCTGAATCCCTTCATGCAAGTTACCTTGCTGGCTCTCCAACAGTATGTCTATTACAAACTGATGAATGCATACATATACATGTGCACTGAGGCACTTTTTTTTTTTACTTCAATACAACCATCTCCCCTCCAAAAAAGGAAATGCATTCCCCATCATTCACTTAAGGTCTAAGAATTTTCAAAAAATTCTTTTGTTATTTTTTCTTATGAAATGGTAGAGAAACTTTTTCTGAAGGTAATAAAACTAAAAGTATGAAATTTGATGGAAAATTTGACTGCATCAGCAAATATGCCCTCTGACTCCTATTTTAGGCCAATTACAATATTCCAGTCGACCAAATTTTTAGCTATTTTGCTAGTATTACTTCTATTTTATTGGCTGAGCACAAGAAACTGCCCAATCACCTATTTCAACTACCCAATAAAGTGATCAGAAATTAGTAATTTGCCCAATTTCACACAAAGTTCAAAATATTCCAATTTCAAGACAGGGTCCTGAAGAAACAATGAAGTCATTCCTGGCACTAAAATAACATTTCCTCTATTTATTAGTTATGTTTCCAGGCTTTACAGATTAATTCCATTTTGATTTTCTATTTACATAAAGAATTTTTATTCACACCAAAGAATAGAAGATTTACTGTTATGCAATATTGTAATAATTGTGTATATAATATCAGTGCATTTGTGAATGTGTATTCAACCCACCAGTTGATGTGTACTGGACCCGTGACGTCATTTGTTTACTCTTGAACATTGGCAAAAATCGAACATTTCCATTAATATGAGCTCAATTTCAAGCTATTTTCAGTACTAAAATCAATCAAAATCATCTCTATTTCTATAATATATCTTCCATTCTATCATAGGAGACCAAAAAACTGTGAATACAACTTAAAAACCATACGAAAATACACCACAAAGTTGGTGCTTTAATTAAAAAACATGGTCCTGTTTTTTTTTTGTCATTATGCACTGCATACTGCAGAATTTGTACTTACCACATAGATGCATTTCCACATATCTAGGCAAAAATTTACTGCTCACAGGTTATCTGAGTGAGCCAAGCTCCTGACTTAGAACTACGGCTTTGACCCCTCAAAGGGTTAACAGCTGTGTTGCCTCAAGTACACAAATTACAATTCAAATGACCCTATAAACTTTAACATCCCCACCCCTCCTTCAGGAAGCATCTAAGTAAACCTACTGTCTCAAGCTAGGTAGAACCAACTTTCATATATACTCACTCCTCTCACTACTCTAATACAAAACTACAGGAGTGCAGTAATATGCCTACTGGCCAATGTTTGGCAGGTCCAACTCTCACCCAACGATTCAATTCATATATAGTATCTATCTGTCTAACCTACTTAACAGTTAACCAAGAGTATTTGCTGCAATGATGCTACTTGGCAGTTTGATCCACTCATCTACAACTCTACAGTAAAATCAATGTTTTCTTGTATATTTTTTTGAATTTGAATTAATCCAATTTGAATTCACTGCTCTGAGTTCTACTTTAATTAGATATGCTCAGCTCTGTATGTATTTCCTCTCTATTTCTATGTTCACTAAGCAGCATAATCCTGCATGCCAGAGATGAGCATCTCAAATGGCAAGATGGTCAGTCATTATATTTGAGATCTGATATGACACCTTGACTACTACTACTACTACTACTAAACAATTCTGAAAATAGGCATAACATACATAAGTGAGAAGTGGTGGTGCAAGACTTACCTAGCATGGGCTAGTAAGCTTACTGCAGTCCTCAACCATTCTTAATTTTTATACAGAAATTTTTGGTTTGGCTATAAAGTTGTTTACGAGTGGTTGAAGTTGGATGATAGCTGAACCTGCCTTGTATAGGTTTGCCACAGTGCACCTCTACTGTAATGTCACTGGACTGGGAGATTACCTTCATTTTTGGTACCTAATAAACTGTGCTACAGATCTGACCTTGACAAGGACTTCAAAAAACTAATTCTATGACAAATGGTGGTATTCACTTTATTATACTCTTTTCATATATATGCATTAGGTTAAACTCAATTTGAAAAAAACATTACCCTGGGAGACAATCTTCTTTGGTATATGCAAATACAACACCAACTCCCATTACAGTACTCTAATTCTCTAATGAATAAGTAAAGATTCCTTCTGCAAAATATCAGGGATCATCTTACAAGGTTAGGCTATGTTCAAGCAAGTTTTGAGTATTTGATATTTCAAGAATTTGTATTTTAGACTGCACCAAAATACAGTCCATCCATTTATTTTAGGGAATTAAGAATTCCTAATCCTACCACAGTAGGGACACCTCTTTGGCACTACTCATGGTTTATATATACTTACCAAGTTTTTTATGTTATAAAAGATGCTGATCATATGAATTCAGTGAGGTCCATAGACATACCTAAGTCTAGGTTGAAAAAGTTATGTGAATACATAAACTTGGAAATAATTAACCACTAAAATGAAAGATAAAATGCACACCAAATTTTGAACATATAACATGCAAACCCATGCATCCGACCTAGTTTCACACAAAACAGAGGAAATTAATTCTAAAGATGATAAAATGACAAATTTTAACAAGTGATTCTTTTGGAATATAAGGCCTAAAGCACAAATTCATGATTCTCAATCTAACTTCTAAACATCAGCAAAGTTGAAGGTAACTTACTGTTTCTGCAACAGTGAAAGGTATAATAAATGATATACAAATTAAAATACCTAATAATATTCTTTATCAGCTCATTTAATATTTAAAATTCCAAGGAAATAATAAAAATACCTACAGACTGGATAGCTAACATACAAGTTGTTGGTGTGTAAATTATTTCTAGTGAGGTGGGTCAAATAATACAACCAAACCAGCATATGGAGAGTCCAGAGAATATTGAGGATGCTCAAACATGTTGCAAGGAATGAAAACCATAAACTCCTCAAGCTCAGAGCACTAAGGGGTCTAAAGACCTGGCTGGTTGGTTGGCCGGCTACCTGCTGCCGTTCTAACTGAATCTGCAACTGTTGCAGCTGAGAGGCAGCAGAAGAGTTGTTTTCACTTGCCGTAGCACGACGCACTCCCGATAGCTGAGACAACAGCTCCGCAATAGGATCCATAGACTCGCGTGATGATGGAGAAAACAGGCCACTGCTAACACTCCTTTAAAAAACAGAGAAAACAATATTATAAATAAAGAGCACAATATTTAACCTTCCTTGTGTTATGACTAAATTTAGGTACACACAAGAGTGTCTGGGAAGGCATATGAAAAATATTTCATATGGAAACCATAATATCTGTCAATAACATCAACTTTAAGATGGTGCCAATGTGTAGGTGCAAATATGTATGTTCCACTTTATCTTCATACACTCATTATTTACCATCCGTAACATTTACATAAAACCAGTGACATGCATCCAACGAATACAGCATATTAATTACAAGCCAACTGGCTGGCTGACCTGTGGACAGTCTTGCCCTTGACTTAAGGGACCTGAAACAAGCATTGGACTTCCTATTAATGATTCTGGAGGAGCAACTGACATCTATTAAGGCATTCTAAAAGCAAGTTTGACTGTCACATAAGTGAACCATTAGCCATATTTTGCTATGAGAAAGTTTCCCTAAGGATCTGGCTTAATTTTTCCCAACTGTAGAAATAGTTTCAATTGACAGTGTGATAATTCATGTATTTTGGACCCAAAATGGTTGAAGAGACCAGTTTAAAACCTCAAATAAGGCGCACGCACATGCACGCATGCACGCACACGTGCACACACACACACAAAATTAGAAATGGTATGATTGCAAAGAGGTACCCCCGATCTCTCATTCCAGTACAATAATAATCAAATTAAACATTAAACCCATTTATTCCAGTATAGCTTGCAGTGCAATTTCATAAAAAAAGTCATATGGCAAATAAAATGGTTTTGACAAAGTAGCGTATTCAAGGATTAAGCTGCAGTACCACACTAAAAAATACTTAGTACAACTTAAAATTACGTAAACAATCAAATTTTTTTTGAGAGTTCAGATCACTACTTCTCCAAATGGAGCAAATTCACTGATATATCACTATATTTTCTTATGAAAGAGTTCTAAATATATAACTTTGCATGCCACCTATCATTTCACTGCACGTGTCACTAACCCCTTCAGGGTCCAAGGCCCAAATCTGAAGTGGTGCCCCAGTGTCCAAGAATTTTCAAAAAAAAAATTTGTTATTTTTTCTTATGAAATGGTAGAGAATCTTTTTGTGAAGGTAATAAAACAAAAAGTACGAAATTTGATGGAAAATTGATGAAATTATGCTCTCGCGAATTTTGATGTGTCAGCAATATTTACGAATCGGCGATTTTGCCGACTTTGACTCCCATTTTAGGCCAATTACATTATTCCAGTCAACCAAATTCTTAGCTATTTCACTAGTATTACTTCTATTCTATCGACTGAGCACAAGAAATCGCCAAGTCAACTGTTTCAACTACAAATTAAAGTGATCGGAAATTGTTAATTTGGCCAATTTAATACAAAGTTCAAAATATTCCGATTTCAAAATAGGGTCCAGAATAAACAATGTAGGTATTCCTGGAACTAAACTAACATTTCCTCTGTTCATTAGTTACGTTTTGAGGCTTTACAAATAAATTCCATTTTGATTTTTTATTCACATAATGAATTTTTATTCACACCAAAAAATAGAAGATTTACTGTTATGCAATACTGTAATAATTGTATAAATATCATCACCATATTTGTGAATGCATATTAGACCCACCAGCTGGCGTGTATTAGACGTGTGAGGTCGTTTGTTTACTCTTGAATATCGGCAAAAATTTAACATTTCTGCTACTTTGAGCTCAGTTTCAAGCCATTTCCAGTGCGAAAACCAATCAAAATCATCTCTATTTCTGTAATATGTCTTCCATTCTATCAAATTAGACCAAGAAATCGCAAATAGAACTATAAATAACATACAAAAAACACTGCAAAGACACTGTTTTAATCGAAAAATCATGATTTCAGTTTTTTTCTCTCATTATACACAGCGTGCTGCAAGATCTGTTTTATGTGGTGCACACATACCACATAGATGTATTCTCTCATATCTAGGCCCAAATGTACCACTCACAGTTTATCAGAATGAGCTGAGCTCATGACGTAGATCTACGGTTTGGACCCTTAACGTAAAGCCGTAGATCTACGGGACGGACCCTGAAAGGGTTAATCATACAAACAGTTTGAATAGCAAAAAGACTAATGCATCCAATATATTAATTGTACTTACAATTATTTCCATTATATCACAGCTCACTCAAATAAGCTGTGAGAGGTAAATTTGGGTCTAGATACGAGAGAATGGGTCAAAGTGGTAAGTATACCATATAAAAAAAATTCCTGCAGAAAGCAGTGCACAATGGGAAAAACTATAACCATGTTTTTGGTTTAAAGCAGCAAATTTGTAGTGTATTTCTGTATGATTTTTATTGTTGCATTCTTGGTTTCTTGGTCTCGTGTGATAGAATGGAAGATATATTACAGAAATAGAGATGATTGGTTTCAGGACTGAAAGTAGCTTCAAATTGAGCTCAACTGTTCAATTTTTGCTGATATTCCAGAGTACACAAATTTGTCCTACATATTTCTTGTTGCACCCTCCACATAATATAGTGTACACCAATGCTTCACTGGTAGGTTTGTCACAGGGAGCTTTTTACCTGGCAAGGCCCCTGATAAAGACACAACCATGATAGCTAGCTGATGTTACTTAGTGAACATATGCCTTTTCAAGGAGCAACATCCATGTAGCTACCAAGGCCACAACTTCCATCACAGATCACACCAGAAAGATCCCTATGGCAAACTCAACAACAGTGAATCAGGAGTACAGCTTCTCCTCGCTTAGTGATGTACTCGTCTACTGACGACTCAGATTTATGACGGGTTCTCTGACCAGTATGCATACCTAAATGTATACAGCTGGGCCCCACTTTATGGCATTTTGCCTTACGACATTCCACTAATATTGACATTTCAAATTATGAAATTATTATACGGCTCCCCCCACCTGACTTTCTAATAGGGTCACTGCACCCCACCCAGTTTGTTTACATTCTCCGTGAGCACGACTCTCCATTATGTCTGGAAACTTTCCAAAATTTCAACTGTTTTAAAGTTATTTCATATTTTATATATACTACATACAGTGGAACCTCTGGTCACAAACACCTCCAAACATGAATAAATCAGTCCATCACAAAAAAATTCAACAAATTTTTGCATCTGGTCATGAACACATAGTCGGATGCCAAACAAACACAGCTGCCCCTTTTTTTTTTTGCACGCACCAATTTTCCCCACTTCCTGCTCCTTGTGTACACCTAACAAAGACCCTCGCCTTGTAGTTGATCTCAGTCAGACATGTGTTCATTCACTGTGAAATCGAGGATAAGGGATAAAGTACCATCCTCTTATCCCCTCTTGGGTACTTACATAAGAGAAAATGTAGTGTAGTACAGTGGACCCCTGCCTTACGAACACATCGCATTATGTTAAATCCGCCATATGAAGCACTTGAATGTAAAAATTTTGCCTCACCTCACGATAAAAATCTCGCCTTACGTGATTCGTCTGGGATGCATCCCACATGTGGCCTCAGCGCCAGTATTTACAAGCCAGCCAGTGCAGTTGCATCTACGCATACATTCAGTACATTTCACATTATCCCAGTGTTTTTAGTGCTTGTAACTGCAAAGTAAGTCACCATGGATCCCAAGAAAGCTTCTAGTGCCATCCCTGTGGTAAAAAGGGCGAGAATTAGTACGGAATTGAAAAAAGAGATTAAGGAAATGTGTGCAAAGTGGGTTGAACTGCAAACCTTTACAGATGAAAATCACCCTGACACAGCTACTGCAAGCTGTGTTGGCAACCTGTACAATGACAATGTTATGGCCCATTTTAAGAAAGTCTTAAAGGAACGGGAGTTACAGAGCTCTATGGTCAGATCTGTTGTGCGACAGAGGTCCAGTGACTCTCCAGCTGGTCCTAGTGGCATTAAAAGAAAAAAGGAAGTAACCCCAGAAAAGGACTTGCTACCTCAAGTCCTAATGGAAGGGGATTCCCCTTCTAAACAATAACTTCCACACACTCCCCTCCTCCCATCCCATCAATCATCACCAGATCTTCAATAAAGGTAAGTTTTATGTATTCTATTCTTAGTAGAGTAGTAATTGTGCATGTCTTCTTCAGTTTGTGTGTATTAAAATTAATACTATTTAATGTGGTAAAAATTTTTTTGTTTTCATACTTTGGGGTGTCATAAACGGATTAATTTGATTTCCATTATTTCTTATGGGGGAAATTAATTCGGCTAACGATAATTTCGCTTACGATGAGCTCTCAGGAACAGATTAATATCGTAAGGCGGGGGTCCACCGTACAGTGCTGTTATATACACTTGTAATGCACCATAAAACTAAATACATGTACAGTGGACCCTCGGTTATCATAAATAATCCGTTCCAGGGAGTGTGACTAAAGCCGAATTTGACGATTTCCAAATTCATTTTCCTCATAAAAAATAATGTAAATCCAATTAATCCGTTCCAGACACCCAAAAATACATATTAAAAAAAAATAATTTTTTACATGAAATATACATTTACCTACACAGAAAACAATGAGACATGAAGAATAAAACAATAACAACATGATACACCTACCATCCGACTTACGACTTGAGTTCGGTTCCGAGAAACCGGTCGTAAGTTGAAATGGTCATAAGTCGAACTTTACTACTGAATATCAACAAAACATTTTTGTAATGACTTTATTTTATTGTTTTATTTTGGTATTTCATGTTTTACTTTACTTTTTATGTTGTTAGTACTGTATTTTATACTGTAAGGTTTAGGATAAACACTGTGTACAACACAAATAGTTGTTTATTTCCCAGAAATTTGGCATAAAAAACACATGTATACGTCTTACGAGCCACAGTTTTTGACGTATATATACTCAAATTCTAGCGGCTTCAAATCAAGCAGGAGAAAGCTGGTAGGTCCACATGTGAGAGAATGGGTCTGTGTGGCCAGTGTGCACCATGTAAAAAAAGTTCTGCAGTACGTAGTGCACGAGAAAAAAAAAACTTTTTT